AGACAAAGCCCCCCAGTTCTGCTGACCCCTATTAAAAATAAATGGTAGCCAGCGGATGCTGCCGAGGTCCGGCTGCCTCCCGAGGGGCTGAGGCCGAGCAGATGCCGTTTCCATGACAACCCATCCGCTGCCACCGAGCAGACCTGGCTCGGCCGAGCGGCAGTGGGGGACCCTTGGCTGCAGCACCCTCCCTGCGGCACGGCTCACCCCGAACTCCAGGGCAGGGAGCCTCTCCTCTCTGTGCAGGCTGAAGCCGTCAGAGCTGATCCAGGAGCGGTTTGGAGCCCGTGCTCCCCCGCCACCCCTGGAGCAGGGATTAGCGCCTGTTCTGCTCAGCGTTGTATGTCTGGGTTTTCCCCCAAATCCTCCCCATGCAAATGCACAGGATAACAAACACAAACCCAGCTGAGCAGTGCCCAGCGTCTCCAAGCCTGGATTTGGGCCGCAGCCGGCTGGCATCCATGCCAGGAGCCAGGTGCTAAGCTAGCAGGAGAGAACAGGAGGTTTGGGAGAGGCGAGGGAGGCTTTGCATCTTGCAGATGGGGGAGGGAGGCCAGTTGCGAGCAGAGGGTGCGGTGAGGCACCTTCTCCAGCCATGCGGAGGGCACTGTCCGTTTGGCTCCTTGGCTGGGCGATGAGATCCCATCTGATTTGCACGGCCTCCAAAAAGTCACTGCTTGGAGTGACTCTGTGGCTACAATAGCTGGGGAGGCAGCAGCAGACTGATCATGGGGAGCCCTTTTCCTTGGTGTGATGTGATTCTGGGGACTCGTCCTCGTGAGTCCTTCGCACTCTTCCAATGCATGCTAGTTGCTGCCGAAATCACCTGGCTGCCCCCCTCTCTACGCAGGAGCTGGGCTTGCCGCAAGCCCTTGGTGCGAAAGATGCACGTGCTGTGGAGGGACGTGCTTCCTCCAGCCCCTGAGCCCTTCAGCAGTGATCAGCTTTCCTCTGCTCCACTTGGTAGCGTGTCTCGGAGGAGACCGGCTCGCAGGCTGCCAGCTGGCCGGGCGCCGAGGCGCGGGTGCTGGCGAGGCACGGCATGGCAAGGCGGCGCAGGCCAGCCGAGCGCTGTCAGGAGCGTGTAAGCGGATGTCTGAGCGCCGTGCTGAAAAGGGCACTGCTTGGCGCTCTCGGCTGCGCCAAGAGGACATCAAAAGATGTACGGCCCGACGTGAGGTCTTGCATACTAGTGGGTTGGGTGTGGGGAAAAAACCTTGACTTCCACTAGTGCTCGAGTGCATGGTGCTGGCCTCCTGCACAGAGAGCCCCAAGGCCTCTTCCAGTTGAGTGGGAAGAAATGGGGATTAGAGCAGTTCTCCGAACCAGCCGCACCAGACAAACCAGCTCAGGAGCTGCCAGAGACGATGCCAAGCTCTGCTTGAGGAATCCCAACCAGCAGCCAAGCTGACTTGGCTGGAGAAAGGAGAGCTCCTCCGTCACGTTCAGCGCCCTGATGGGCTGTTTCACGGTCCCGGGGCTGGGGAATCCTCTGGTGCCGCTGTGCAATGGGGGCAGCCCCCGTGAGGAGGCAATTCCTGGGGCTCTCCATCCCTGCCTGCTTCACCGACTCTCCCTGCTGCTTTCTTGGGGTAGGAAGCACCTCCAGTCCCAGCTGAGGGGCAAGGACTGGAACTGGCAGTGGAAGGGCAAGAGCTGGGGGGATGGAGGGTGCTGACAGCTGTGGTACATGTAAAACGGTGGCTGTCGCTCTGCCTGGTGTAAGGAGAGCTACAAAGGCTGGCAGCTGGCTTTCTTTCCTCGCAAAGGTAATCTTATGAAACAGGAGTGATTTGCAGTCTGCTTTCCTGCTCTCCCCTCCCAGATCTGGAGGAGTTGCAGCTGAGGATGAAGTCAGCTTGGAGAACAAGGTGCGCTCGCACCCCACCCCGCTCCTCTGCCGATAACATCTGACTAACCTCGGGGCACCGAGCGCATCTGCTCTCCCTCCTGCTCTTGTGCCGCCTGCCCTGTGCTGGGACCCTCGCTAGGGAAATCCCAGCCCCTTCTGGAGTTTTCCACCCCTGCTCTGGCTGCTGGAGCAGATGCAGGGCCTGGGAAGCAGAACTGGGAGGAAACGGAGTAACAAGCCATTGGGAGCAGGTGTATGGGGAAAGCCCTAGAATTGCGTGAGGAGTCTTCTCTGCTTCCTCTGTACCTGGCAATGGGCTACTTCAGTGAAGTATTTCAGAGCAAACATCCTTGCTGAGAGACAGCCAGCATCACGGCAAACCCAAGAACTGGCCTGTGTGCCTGCCCGGTGCAGGACTGCTGCGCTCACCAGTCCAGCTGCCAGGTACCACCTGAGAATGGTTAGTCCATCCCGCATGACCACAATGAGAAAATCCCACCGCAAACAACCCTCAAGTTGTTATGGGCTTGCTCTTAGCCCGCATGCCCTGCTGTGAGCCAGTCTGTCCTACTGATCTTGATATCCATGTGGAAAAGAAATTGTTTGTTCCTCTGTCCTGTCTCACAATGACTCTGGGCATCTAAATGGCCTCTGAGAAGGTACCAGCCCATCTGTCCACCCCATGGGTGACTGAAGGCATCTCTTGGGTATGCCACATCT